ATAATAATGAATACTTCAATAATACTAACTACGAATATGAAAAAAAAGAGGAAAGACAAAAGTATTATTGACTGGAGAAAACTGATCCAAAATTATCACATCCCTCGCGCCTGAAGCACAATCAAACTTTCTCAAGATTTCCGCCTGTTTGTCGTCTTCGAAACTACCGGAGCTATTGTTGTCAAATTTTATAAATGTGTTATGAATACATATCTTGTAATTGGGAAACTGCTAACCAAAATTTGTCTAAATATCCCCACCAACAATTTGATGAAGTCACCTCAAAATTTTACATGGTAAACGTGTTTAAACTGTATAAAATAACTTACTTGTGTACTTGTGGTTTATGAATCCGCCTGAGATTTTACCCTAGGCTTCCATTTCATAGTAATATAAGAGGATCGTTCAGCAACCGCTCGGTTACGAGGATCCCAAGTTCGATTTCCTCATAGACCACTTTGTTTTTCTTACATTTTGACTGACATAATTTTTTTTTCTAAAAAGCTGGATTTGTTTATTGTACTTAAAAAGCGAGGGAAGTTCTGTGAGAGACTACTTGTTTAAGATAACCCATATATGTATCGTTAACAATATTAATCGTCTTCCTCAACTATTTTTTTATATAATATAGCAAAATTTTAAATTAATCGAATTATTAGAACAAGCACTAAATTTAAACCTTGCAAAGTGTGTCGGCAATCTTAATACATTAAAAATTCATTATACAATTAAAACCAGTGTAGTGTCTTGAATTTCAAATTTAAATTTCGCACTAAGAAAAAAACAAAGCCACCAAAGCGCTCATTGAAAAAATAAAAATAAGAAAAATTATTCAGTAACCCAGGGGTTGAAATTTGAAATGTACAGCAGGTGCAAAATTGGAACTAACTATATTATATAGTTACTTCTTCTGTAACAGTGCTAGTATAAACACGTGTTGTAAATAAACGTAGTTTAAATTTAGATTGCAATTTCATGAAAAGTGCTATTATTTAAATAAAGAAAAAAGTGTAATCATTGTAAGTCCAGTTAATTAGCCAATTTCCAATCTGAAATGTGTAAAACTTCGATGCCGTCAACACGTTTATAAATTCACAGTTCATGTTAAGATTTTTGACAGTTGTTCAATCATTGATTTATCACGATATATTTAAAATTCAGGATATTCCTATTTAAGTTATTAAATTTAGTTCACTTTGCAATAAGTCAATAACCTCGTCAAAGTCAGGATCATTCCTGACAAAAGAAAAGACAGAAAAAGAGAAAAATATTGAAGGAAAATGTTAAGGAAACAAATTATAATAGTTCACTTATGGCACTGAAACCAATCTAAATTGTTGGTCAATTTTGAAAGAAAGAACACTCAATATTATAAGAGTATTCGTTAAATTCATATCCTTGTGGACTCGAAAAATCCAGGTTTAATAATTTCTTGCAGCTTGAATTTTAACGTTTATTCTCGAAATCGCCAATCTCTAGCGAAGCGTTTCCGAGACCACCGTATTTTGGTTTTGATCGAATTTCATGTATTTTCTCTGTATGTGATATGTGGTTTCAGTCCACGAGATAATCTGTGAATTTATAATGATTTAATCAATAACCTGAATTAACAAGATGTATTTAAATTCTTTGTTATTTGAAATTGGTGGCCAAATTTGAATTAAAATTTCGCGCTGAAAAAAACAACGCCGCGAAAACGCATTTGAATAATTTGAATTTAAAAAAATTCACATTAAGAAAATCGTTAAACATAGGCAACCACGTGCAAGTTTAGTTATTTTCTGGTAGTCGGTAGCTCTCCTAGGAAATTTCTGGGTAGTATCTAGTGAGAGGGTTGGTACGAGTTGGCTGGTTTGGTAGAGGGTGGAGATGCGTCACTCTGTTCTGTGGCGTCACTGTTGTTTTGTTTTGGTGTGAGTGAAGCACGCGGTAAGGTGGCTAGATTAAGTTTAGTTAGTTTGGCGAATTTTCAACCGACGCTAACACGTGATGTAAATTTGATCTATTGTTTGTAAGTTGACAGTTCATATTAGGATTTTAATCGTTAACTGGTTCTAACGCATTTGAACAGTCATGAGATTGTTTAGATAAAACACTTGCTAGGAGATGTCATGAAATTCACTTAGTCAGGACTCATCCTTTATTTATCAAGTTGTAAATAAGGTTTCTGAAAGCTTATACTTAAGTGTTACGTTATATAACTTCTTAATTCCTCACACAAGACTGCTAATAGTTCATTTACGGCAGTTCAATTAACCAAACGTTGTCCCACTCTAGGAAAAAGACCGTGGAAAAGCGGTAGGACATCATGTAAATTCCTTGTTTGAATCGTTGATAAAGTGTGGCAAATATTTTAACCTCATGTAATTTTGTTAGCTTTGCAATTTTTCACCTCAAGCGATTTTTCTCTATCTCACAACTTTAGCCTCAGTAATTTTCATTGTTGTATAATTTAAATTGAACGTAAATTTGCCTGCTCTGCAGTTCCTAACCTCACGTGATTTTTTTTGTCAGCACAAGTTTTACTTCACACCAGATCTTTTTTTTTTTGTTTTTATTTTATAAATCTTTGCTAGTTATTTCTACCATGTAAATATTTTATTGATTAATGTTTCCATAATATAAATTGTCTGCTGTTTAATCTTAATCTCAGATAAGAATTCTTTGCTATTTAAAATTTCACGAGACTGTATGGCGAATTTAAATGTTGTTAATTGTTTTGTTTTTTTTTTTAACTTTTAACACTTGTTCCGTTGTAGTTTAATATCAGAGTTATAGAAAACGAACATGTAAATGGAACAAAGGTAAATAACACAAAAACACATGGCAAAAGCGGAGTGCGCGGTTCCTTGTCGAGCTGGCGATTGCGCCATCTGCACATTCGGCTTAGCCCAATAGCCCAAATTTTCAACCACGAGTTTGCGACCGTAACAGCCTCGTGTGGCACGTTTCTTCGTGATAGAGTGGTGCCGGACGGCAGTGCTTGCCAATAGAATGGAATCATCGTTGTGGGTAGGAGAACAGCCACGACCAGGAGCCCCAAACTCCGCTCGTGCTACAGCGCCCCTACGAGTAATTTTACTGTGCTCTAGAATGGCACAACTTAGCCGGAGTTTTTTTTGTCAGTGGAGGAATAAATGATTTTGTGTCCTCTATATATTTTGTGTTTTATTTAGCGGCACTTTTCCAATCTTGTGGTACACCACTTGCATCTGACCGCATTCCGCCACAAAAAAGAAACAAACACAATGTAGGGTTCCATTTTGTTAGATGCTCACAGCCAAGACCAAATTTTTGACTTTTTGAATTTTTCGCGGGGTTTCAATTTTTTCTCACATGTCAATTTAAGGCGGGATATTTGGGTTATCACATTATGTTACTCGATTTGCTATCGTATTCAATAGATTTTAATTCTAACGGAAATAAAGTTAGTAACAGAACCTCACCAGTGTTTAAATTCCATAGCGCGTTGTATGGGAAAAGACGCCCCTCGCACCGCTATCGCAATGCACTCGCAGACTGCGTATTTTATTTCCATTTAACTTTGTTTTTTGGTGGACTGCCATAATTTAAAGTTGTTCATTGTTTGTAAATTCACAGTTTACGTTAAGATTTTCAACTGTTCCTAGTTATAATACAATTTAACAGTCATGAAATTGATCATATGAACCACGTGTTGGGAAATTCACCTATTCGGGCTTCACTCTTTTGTTTATCACGTTAATCAAGTTTGATAAAAATTAACAACGGCGCGAAATCACATTTGAATAATTTGAATTGGAAAAAGATTCAATCAAAAAAATTCGTTAAACATAGGCAACCATGTGCACGTTGGCGCTTTTTGGGTAGTGGGTAGTTCTGCTTGGAATTTTAGTTAGAGGGTTGGTAGAATTTGGTGGCTAGAGGGTAGGTGGTGGTCACTTTTGGTGTGTTTGTTGTGAGTGTAACAATGTGGTCAGTTAGCTAACTTAAGTTTAGCTGATTTGGTAGTTAATAAAAGGGAGGAAGCCTTTGTTTAACGACAATTAACGTAGCGACGACGACGACGGCACAGTTTCCCCAACACGCGTAGCTAATTCTTGCGGTTTTTTTTTTTTCAAGTGGTTATAAGTGAATTTTCAACCGACGCTGTCGCGTGGTATAAATTTGTTTTATTGTTTGTAAATTCACAGTTCATGTTAGGATTTTAATCGTTAACTGGTTCTGACACAATTTAACAGACATTAGATTTATTTAGACAAATTACTTGCTAGGAGATTTCATAAAATTCACTTAGTCAGGACTCTACGCTTAAATTATTACAGGTTTAATAGTTTTGTTTCAGATCTAATTATTACCTAGCACAATTTCTAGGTAAACTTTGCGGTTTTATCATTGACCAAATAAATGCTGGAAGTGAAACTTTATAAGGAAATTTGCGTCCGCATGAAACGCGTGCTGTTTTGCGAAAACTGAGTAGTTTTTTGGGTTTTTTGGGCATAGAAATGTGGAGTGTTATACCTATCTCTAGAGTAAAATCACCTTGTTTTAATTAAGTTATGTCCTACGAAAACGAATAAAACTTACCTTAATTGACTGAAATATAAATTACGGTGCTCCAAAATATCGTATACTCACATTTAACAATGACGTACACTTGTTATATTGTAGTTAACACTCAACGTCAATTGGCTACATTGTCATTGTTAAATCTTGTTACATTAACACACTTAAGGTAAAAATTGTGAAACACAACCACGTTCCAGAAGAGATAGAATTGATGTATGAAGATAACGTCGTTAAGAAAAACTAGACATTTACATTTACCAATAATTAGGTATTGTTTTCATCAATTTTGTTATCTTATCTGACATCTCCATGGGCCGTAGAGGTACCTAACAATATTTTTGTAGGGCAAACGCTGCATTTGATGCTTTTTATTACCATGTGTTCAAGATAGCCATCATCAGATAACTGTATGACGTATTACCGTCAAATATTCGCACAAATGAAACATAAAATAAATTATAAAATTTTATTTCCTCTTAATTATTAATAGCTTAAAAATGTAGGTAAGATAGAAGAAAAAAATCAAAATATATAAATAAAATATAATTAACCTGCATAAATAATAAAAATAACATACGCATTATGTCATGATAAAATAGATTCAACTAATTCCACAAAGTAAGGCTAACCCATTTAATACGTATTGGAAATAAATTATTTACAATTAGTTCATCAACACTCCACATGCGCAATAAATGTGGTTACAGTTACCCATGATGAGACTCTAGAAATTTTTTGATTAACATAATCACAAACAAATTTACCGCAGCTGCGAGTATTAGAAAATAATAATAAAGTAATAAAAAATATAATATAAATAGTAAAACAGAGAGATTAACCATCCAGTTGGTCCTCCACGTTTATCCATTCTTGCTCCTTGTATCTCCTGCAATTCTCTATAACCATAGCGGCTAAATTTTTCACTGGAAGGGGGGGCAGGGGATGATCTATCAGTTCTTGGAGTAAAACTAACCCTCCTTCCTTTTCTATAAGCGAACAGTACTTTTCGGCTGAAACAAAAACGCTATACCCAGCGCACACTCGACCCTTGAACCACTTACGATAAACTTTGGTCAAGTTAGCTAGGGCCCAAACCGCCCACTTCTGGCACTCTGGTGTATGATAGACTTTAACCAAATATAGAATGGGTTCAAAGGAACGATAATTGATGTTTCTCTGCGAGTTCAAGTCCCATCTGTCGATAGCTCGCACCATTTTATCAAGAACGTAGCTCCTCGTGGGTTGGAACACCATCCACACGTCGGGACCGTCAGACGCTATGTGTGAGATCACTCCAGCGGCGTTGTAGCTCACCTCGATTCCGTCACTTTTCGAATCCAAAAGGTCCGAAAAGACGGTCAGGTATTTCGACGTCACGAGAAAGTGACGCAGCTCGCGCACTTCGGCCACGTTGCCTAGGAGACCCATCATGTTTCGGAGAAGCTCGTCTTTGTTCGGGAATTTCTGCAAAAAGGGTTGATGTATTTTTTTTTTGAGATGGGTGTCTAACCAACCTCTAGACACATTAAAAAGTATTCCATTCCCTTGATTTCTAAAAATTTTCTACAATTAGAAGGCGTTTCGTCGGTTACATTCCACATTGTCGACCACGCCACTTCTAGAACGTCGTCGCAGTGGCCTCGCTCGAGCCTGTCGGCGATCAACCATATCATTTTCTATAAATTGAATTACAAAATGAGAATTATTTTCCAATGTTGATTGAATGTGATTTACATTGATGGCTCCGAGTTCTCCTAACCTAACTTTCTGTTGGCCGTCGATTTGGCAGGCTAAGGAGTTTAACAGGTATATTCCTATCCTCTGAACGAAGCTTTCTTGCGCCATACCGTAGACCGAATGGAGCAGAATTTCGACAAGCCTTTCGTAATCAAAAAGCTGCAAATATTTTTAAATGAATATGTTTTCTTTATTCTGTATAATGATCATTCGATGTCAGAAATTATTCTAGGAAGGAAGGAACCAGTACGAGATAGAATAAGGGTGAGAACATCAATCTATAATTGGAACTTTCTTCGCACATATACTTGTATAGCAATAAAATTTTGCATACTTTGGCTCAATCAAATATTTTTTTTATTTTCTTAGATAAACTATAAAATTTCGTTCTGCAAAATTGTCTCCAAGAGCCTCCATATGTCAGCTTTCCCGCCAAACCTCCCCAAATATATAAAAAATGTCACCCAATAAATTCAACGGAGACTAAATACTGAGATGACGTCATCAAGCTTTTAAAAAGTGTGAAAAATTTAACAGCAATCGGTTCTATAGTTTCTAGTTGATTTTTTTTACCCTGATTTTTACTTCACGAACGCAAAGGAAGTATTCTAACAGGGTCCATCCAACGAATGACTACTTTAATGTTTTTTCGACATTTCATGACCCCGTCAATACGAAAACGCACGTCTCGCGTTCCATGTCTTTGTCTCTGTGCGTCTATCACCTGTGCCATCAAAGCACCCCCGCCAACAATTTGATGACGTCATCTCAAAACTTTCTACAATAATGTTATTTAAATGTTATACAATAATATGTACCTGAGTCATTCTACTAAAACAGGAATTATTTTATAGTAAATATGGATATACACGTTATCTCAATATTTCGAGATGATGAGTATTTTATGAATTGATCGAAATTGTATCAAGGCTGAAGCTAAAAGGATCATTCAAAATAACAAATATTTATGATTTTATAAGCAATGAAATGAAATCTGAGTTCTTGATCCTCCGAAATGGAAATCTTGGACTTCCTCATAATACTTGGTGCAATAATTTTATGAAAAATCCATATGAGTCACCACATCTCGTTCAGTTAACGATTCTTTTAGTGCTTTTAATACGCTGTACTGATGAACAATATTGGCCTCATGATAACAATTTTTTTTCAAATCATTCTCTAAATTTAAAACCAATTCTCAAAGTGACAATTCCAAATGTTGTTGTAGATGAACTTGATGTCGATGGCATATTTTCTATAGCGCACTCATTTGCTGTTGTTTGTTTAGATTCTTGTTTCGAGTAATAAGTTGGCTGTTTCCGTTCTCTCTCGTTTTGTGGCCCAGGAAACTGAGAACAGGGAACTGAGAATTTTGTCTTTATCATGTAAAAAAAGCTTTTAATAATTTCCTATGTAGTACAACATTTACACAAGAGTTTTGCACCAAGTGTTTAATTGATTTATGAAAAACATAAAGTTTCCAAAATTGACAAATGTTAAATAAATACTTTCCAGGAAACTGATAACTTGACTGAAACCATACGCGTTCACTGACGAAAAATATTTTATTTAATAACGGATATTGAAAGTTTATCGGCAAATTTCTAACACGCGCCAAATAGACATCAAATTGGTCCAAACTGTCTAATTGATATCTTCGCAAAAGTAACGTGATATTGTAATAAAAATTAAATATTGCCGACCAGGGAACTGAGAAATAAAACCCTGTTTCACGTTGGTTAAAAACAAAAAAAAAATAATAAATATCAATTCAAATATGCTAATATCTACTATTTTCACTAATATTAATTAAGTATGTGCCACAATACTTGAATTAGCAGCAATGCTACTTATTTTATAACACACCACAATTTACAGGGTGAGGACAGACCAGGGAACTGAGAATTTTATGTTTTTAAAATGTTTCTATAAACTTAATAGCATACTTTATCAACTATTTATCATTTGCCGGTGTCAATTCATGTATGATCTTTTGTTGTAAACAAACTTCAAGACAATATTTATGTTACATAAAGATTGGTGGTCTTTTGAAAATTCCCATTTTTGTAGAATCAGTCACCTACACTTGTGGTTTATGAATTGCCTTGAATTTTTTCCCCAAGCATTCAAATTGTCGCAAAAAAATTCATAGAGCATGGAGATTCATACGTTAAATTTGTTACAAAATTTTTAATTTGTTTCCAAAAATCTGTATGTGGATGTTTAAACAATAGGCATGAATAATAATAAATAAACTACCTAAAGGAACATTATTTTGCACATTTTAAATCGGATTTACTTCGCAAAATTGTAAAATGACGTCATCAAAATTCTTGGTAGGGATAATCAAGTAAATTTATAGGACACTCCTAAAATTATTTTTTATAAATACAAAATTGGTTGAAAGTTGTTTCGACAGAACTTCCCTCACACCGAAAGTACAATGAAACATATCCAGCATCCGAGTTCAGTTTTTGCTTAGCACAATTTAGATAAGACTGATTGTGGCAGATTATATGCCCCCTAAGAAAATAGAGGGCGGGTAGGCAAAGCTAGTATTTGTTAAAATAAGGTTGATTTTGGTAAATGACTGAACAATACATATTAAGATTAATCACCGGAATGAAGAGAGGGTGGGTGGGCGGGGCTATTGCTTGCTTATAAAAGATTCTGTATGAAAAAGTTAAACTTAGCCCCGCCCACCCACCCGTTCTCTCATTTTTTCTTCAGAAATAAGAACTAAATGTTATAGCAAATAAGTATTATAACAAAAAAATTACGATTAACGCTTTTTTAACAGCCTACGTTCTATTAGTTCCCATTCTTACTTTACAAAAGAACATATAATTCACCTCGCCCACCCACCCCGCCTCCATTTCAGTAATTCATTTTGTCTAGGCCGAATAAAAGGTGGATCTCAATCGAAGAGAGGTAACATCGTTAGAATGAGAACAACGTGTGTGGGCAGGGCTAATATCTGCCAAGATAAAATTGATTTTGGCAAACGACATACCTTCTAAGAAAATAGAGGGCGGGTGGGCGGGGCTAGTACTTGTTAAGATAAGATTGATTTTGGTACATGACATATCTTCTAAGAAAAAAAAAGATGGGTGGGGGAACTAAAACTTGCTAAGATAGGACTAAACAATATTAAGAGTAGTCACTGGAACGAAGAAGGAGTGGGTACTGCTTGCTCATAAAAGTAGAAAAAAGCTAAATTTAGCCCCGCCCATCTCCTTTCTGCATTTCACTGACGAATTTTATTTTGTGTAAAATGGAAATTGAGAAATAACTAATAATTTTGGATTCCCAAAATTCAAAATTCATTAATTTTTTTGAGTCACCCTGTAAAAGCAAATCTAAAAAATATATAGTCTGATCATATTTTGTACACTTTCAAAAGGATTTATTGGGCAAAATTTTAGAATGACGTAATCAATTTTTTGGGGTTGATAAACAGATAATTTTACTTAAAAAGTTGCCATGCTTACAATCACTTCAAAACGTCTGCAAGATTTCAAAATATTCAGTTTTGCAATTCTTGATTTAAACAATAAAATAAATTGACTCAGTTATTAATTTTTTGAGACACCCTGTATAAGAAAATCAAAAAATGTTAATGCAGTTATAAATCACAAGTCTAGGCTGATCATATTTTGCACATTTAATATAAGATTTATTCAGCAATATTCTGAGGTGACGTCATCAATTTTGGGGGGGGGGGGGGGGGGGTGAGAGACTGATTTAAGTTAGTTGCACATTTGAAATGAAAACTAGAAAAATTGTAATTCAAAAGTTGAAAAAACGAAAAATGAAAAATCTAACAGTAGAAAATTTAAAAAATTGAAAAAAAATAATTATAAAATACAAAAATTGAAAAAACAAAAAACAGAAACAAAAATTTTCGAAAATAGTTGAAAAGTGCTTGAATATGTAAAAAATGCCAAAATCAGTCTTATCTTATCAAATACAAGCTTATGATAACTTTAAAACACCTGCAAGATTTCAAAGCATTTGGTTTTGCAGATTCAAAATTAAATTGCAAAATGATGTTTTATAATTTTGAATTTTTTTCCCAAAAATCTGGACGTTTCAGGTAAAAATTCAACACGGCGTCATAAACTACATGTGTAAGACTATGTTATTTTATACAACTTAAAACCTTCGGAGATTATCTGTCTAATAAAAATCCGGGACGGCGGACAGACGGACAGACGGACAGACAGACAGACGGACAGACAGACAGACGGACAGACAGACAGACGGACAGACAGACAGACGGAAACGGGGGACCTAGTAAAAATTTACTAGATTCACAATATTCTGAAAACGTTCTTGTAGAGCATTCGGTTTTGAAATTTCTAAGTAAAATTGTAAAATGTTACACAATTTTAATTTTTTGCGAAAATCTGTAAGCCAAGGTTAAAAAATCAAGGCGGATTTATAAACTACCAGTCCAGGAATATGTTACTAGTCAATCGATTATCTGTCAAATAAGTATCGACACCGACCAGAGATGACAGACAGGTGATAAATAGACAGATAGGCAGACTGACGACAGACAGACACACTAACGCCAGATAAACAAATGACAAAAGGACGACAGACAAACAGACAACAGCCAGGCAGATAGACCGTCAGACAGACGACAGACAGACAGACAGACGACAGACAGACAGACAGACAGACAGACAGACAGACAGACAGATAGATAGACGACAGACAGACAAACAGCCAAGCGACAGACAGCCATACAGATGACAGACAGACAGACAAACGAGAGACAAACAGACAGATGACAGACAACTAGCCGACAGACAAACGATAGATAAACAGGCGACAGACACACGGAAACGCGAAACCAAATTTTTTTAGTCTAGGGGTCATAAAACGTCGCGAAAACCTGAAAGTAGCCATTCGTCGGATAAACCTATTACAAAAAAAAAAAATACAAAAAATAACGATCTATAGTTTATGGTTTTATAGATTCTTTAGCTTTTATGTTGAAAAATTGTATTAACATAATTAACAAAGTACATGGATCCAAAAATATTCCGAAAGTTATTAACTTTCAACCAATACTACAATCAAGTACTATACATATGTTCCTCTATATTTAACGTTTTTTGTTCTTCTTTATTCTTGTTTCTTTGTCTTGATCGTAGTTTCTGTGATAGTTATATTGATTTTTCGTTAATTTAAAAAAAAAACGCACAATGTCGTACGTGTTTTTCTTGTTGAAAATAAGCAATCTTTTGATTATTATTATCAAAAAATTTCGGTAATTGGAAGACCTTCAGTCCCAATTATTCCGGATAATCGAGGTTCCACTATAATACCTTTTCATCGGAAAAAAGTACCTACTTACTTTTTAAATAAGTTTAGATTAAGACATTTAATTGATTATTAGTAAGTAGCTGGCCCTGAAACCACACGATAAAAATTTATATGTAAATTTTCGTTATTTCTTAATGAAAGTTGTTACATTTGACCACATACTTTAATATGTTAAGAATGTAGCTACAAAGTAAAGTAAGAATTATCACTTTTGTAAAATATATTTTCCAGTCCTCAGAAATGTGAAGATTACAAAGAATCCTTACAGCCGTAAAATAGTCCCATGCCAACATACAGTAAGTAATTGCGTACATAAAAAAATCTTATTTTGACTATAAACATAATCAACATGGTGATCCCATACTAAACGCAAATCCAAATGAACACCTAAAAATTTGTCTATGGTTTTCAGTAGAATATATTTTTTAGTTCTACCTGATAAAAGGAGAAAAGAAGTTCTAAGCTGGTGATTCCACAAGCTCAGTTTATGTTTAAGTAACATTTTAAATAAATACAAAATACAACCATGTCGATTTTTTTTTTTAATCGAATTGTAATGAGTATGAAAACTATTTAGGAGTATTTCAAAATAATATAAAGTGTTACTTGAAAACCTCTTTCAAAAATTTTATTCATCATAAGGGGTATCAATAAAAGGTCTATAATTATTTAAAACAGTAGGATTTCGTTTTTAAAGAGAGGAGTTACTAATGCACTGGTTCAAAGGCTCGAAAATGTTTTCAACTTACCACATCCGCAGGAATCTTAAACTGACACAATGTCAGACACCCATTCCTCATCATCGTCTCGTCGTTCCTATGCACGCTCATCCCGTTCAATAACGCCGTTATAATTTTTCTCTTTACTCGCACAACATCGTGCAGCTGCTTACCCGTCCCTTTGACAATATAAAAAAGAGTTGCACTGCAAACACAGCATTAGTCACATCGGCGTTAAAAAATAAAAACGCATTTAAAATACCTTCCCGAAATTTGTACGTGTCGTTCGGCAAGATGACGATTCATAGCCTCCAGGACTATGTTCAAGGCTTGACCTACGTACGAGCAGCTCTCGAAGCGAAGAAGGTGAAAAAGTTCGTTCAAAATTTTCTGCAACATGTCGGTTCGGTCGAGAAAGGCTAACGCGGCGACGAGGATTTGCTCTTCGTTTGCATTGCCTGCAATCTAAAAAAATATGTGTGTAGTGGATTATAGTCACTGTCGCCAATGCTGTAGTTTAAGGCACACAAAAAGCAAACTGGAAATAAAATAGCAACACACACTAAAAAATTCAAACTTCAAATTATAGTAACCGCCTTAAGCGTTTTTTTCTAAGGGTATTTCGAACAATATATGTCATTTCTGCACAGTGGTGGAAGTCAAAGATGTTTTGAAAGGCTAATTACCCAGGGAGATTGTATGCAAAATAGTACGTAACCGCATAATCACCTATTGTTACTACATTCGTATACGCTAACAAATACTCTCTTACGCCAAAGATAGTGGAGTTTCTCAATGTAATTGATACACAAACTGAATAAATCAGCATCCTTGGGTGTAATTTATTCTGTTATTGCCAAGCCGCATTTTATCAAACAAGTCATAATAGCCGTCTAGACGCAATATTTGAAAGTATGAAGTACATGTGCATATCAAACGCGCGGTATTTACCTAAATGCAAGAACACAAAATGACCTTAAGAATTGATAGAATAAGATAAAAAAGATACTAGGTTTTTATCTATGTAACAGTAAATGTTCATGTATTTGAATCAAGTACTTTCTTTTTTGATCTACACCGAGATGTACAGGCTTATGACAAAGTAATGCACAAAATTCATAAAAAGCGCAGAATTTGTTTTTGAAAAAATTATGACGTCATCAATGATTTTTTAAAAGAGACACTATAATTCTGATCGGATTATTTAACAAAAAAAATTGACAAAATTAATAACAAACGAAATAAACATGATATGAACATGAAACAAAATGAAGAGAATGGCCACCTTGGTTTCCGGATCTGACACCCCTTGATTTTTTTATGAGGACATTTAAAAGTCGTGTTTATATGAACACGACTTCAAAGCACGAATTCGTCATGTATAGGTTCCTAGAGTACTGAAAATTCGATCAATCAGGTCTACCATCCTCTTTGTGTCAGACAGTGAATGGGGAACAGTTATTTGAACAAATTCTATGCCATAAATTTTTACTCCAACGTAATGTTCTGTTTATTTAATATTAAATAAATCATTAAAATTTATTTTGTTTGTTATTAATTTTCTCAATGTTTTTGTTATGAAACTCGTACATCAGACTACATTTTCATATGCAGAAAAGTAAGCTTTATCAGATAAAGCAATTAAAATTATACCTTCCTATTTAAAAAAATCATTGATGACGTCATAACTTTTACAAATTTGACGTAAAATGTTTTTGACATATGTCAAAAGATGGACATTCAATTCACATTTTTTATGCAAATACTATTGTAATAACAATTTCTTCACTTTTTAAAAATCACGTTTGTTTTTTTTTTAAATTACGTGAACGTTATTTTAAAACTGAAGTGGAAGCTATGACTGATACAAATCGGCAGATAATAATCATATTGACATCAGTATTTCGAGAACTCAGTATCATGATATTGGCTGCAGCTTCAACTAATTACATAGATGATCGTAATTAAAAAAAAAACAATAGAACTTAAAATTTTGATAATTATGAATCACACATACAAAAAAAGATACCGTCATAAATCTGCAAGTAGAAAAAAAAGTTTTGGTCAGCATTAAAATACATTTAAAATTTTAAAGCAATCAGTTCGGTAGTTTTGGAAGTTGTTTTTTTTTAAATTCCAAAAAAAAAAACAGACATATAGAGAGAAATAGAGCGTAGATATTTGGTACAGACGCGATAAAAAGACTGTGACGAATTAGAAATGAAATATGGAATAAACAACGGTGTTTGATGAGAAAATAAAAATGAGGACACTAACAAATAATAAAGTATATCGGATGTTCCAAAAATGAGGGAAAAGCTCGATGATACGTTATTAAGAACACTCTGAAAAGATCATGCAACAAAATTTGGAAAATATTAAACGTCAAAGTTGAGGAAATTAATTCGTAATTCTGATTTTCTTTAGGAATATTTGATCATTTTTATTGTTTTTTTTTTCGACTGACATTTAAATTCCATTAAAATACATCAGAATTACGAAGTTAATTCTTCAACTTTGAAGTTTAATATTTTCAAAAATTTGATTTAGGGATTTTTTAACCATTTTTTTCGCGTTCTTCAAAGCCTCCTTAATACCGTATCATAGAGCTTTTCCGTCTTTTTGGAACACCTGCATCTCATTTATTTCCAAAAGTAGAAGTTTTAAATTTAGATTCATTAATTCATTCATTATATTATCAGCTTTGGTTTTTCCGGAAATTACATCAACTTTTTTTTTACGAAAAGATTAAAGTTTTAAATTTGAAGCAATTAAATCACATCAAAAAATCTATGAAATGGCTACATCGATTGCATTCTTTTTGCAAGTTTTCTTGTAAATGACATCAATTTTATCATTTTTTCCTTTAATTTCCACTATTATTGGAAGCTTTACAAAGAGTTGAAAATACAAAAGAATTAAAAAAATGTAAATAATGCGCTACCACCTTTATTTTTTCTTTTCAGGAAGAACCGTAATAGGATCCATCCGATCACTGGCTACTTTCATGTTTTCTCAATGTTTTAAGAGCCCCAGAGTACGACTGTTCGTCAATTTTTATTAAACAGATAATGCTCTTCAAAATTTAACTAATCATTCCTAGAATTCACAATAGTAAATAATATTCAAATTTTATCAAATAAGATACTCCAGTACTTGTGGTTTATGAATCCGCGTTGAGTTTTTATCCCAGACATTTAGGTTTAAAAAAATCAAAATTTAACTTTGAAATTGCAAAACTCTAACATGGTAAATCTTTAATCAAAATTTGTCTATTTTGTCAAGTTTGCTTAATTATTAATTAGTCCTCTCCTCTAGGTTAAGGAGGCAAAATCAACAAAATTTCATTTTCTTTTAACACAAATGCCACAGCTGATGCTTGTAATCTAAACGTCCTAATAGTCGAATTCTTTCGAAGTATAAACCTAAACTAGTTAAGCATGTACTGAGAAATTGAGAATACATTTTTTTACGTTGGTTAGCTGTTTTAAATATATGTATGTATTTTATATTGTCCCCACTTGTGCACCTGTATCTCATTTATTTCCAAAAGTAGCAGTTTTAAATTTAAATTCATTAATATAAAAAAATGTGTGCAATAAATATACTATCAGCTTTGGTTTTTTCCGGAAACGACATCAATTTTTCTTTCCACGAGATTTAAATTTGAAGCAATTAAATCACATAGAAAAATCTATGAAATGACTATATCGACTGCATTCTATTTGTGCTAGTTTTCCTGTAAATGACATCCATTTTTTTCCAAATAATCCAGTGATCCCTTTTGATCTATTCTTTCGACATTCTTAATATACGTATTTGTACATGAAAATAATGTTTGTCTTTAGTTTCCACTATTTATTGGCAGCTTTACAAACAGTTGAAACTACAAAAGAATTAAAGAAATGTCAATAACGCGCCATCACCGTTTTATTTTCTTTTCAAAAAGCTACTTTCTTGTTTTCTCGACGTTTCAAGACCCCCGAAGTATGAAAAGCTGGTCTCGCATTTCCGACTGTCTGTGGTCTGTTTTATTAAACAGCTAATCAAAATTTGTCTAAAATGCTATTTAAATTTTATAAAATATGATACCCCAGCACTTGTTTATGAATCCATGTTGAATTTTTATCTTACACATTCAGGTTTAAAAAATCAAAATTTAACTACTTTGAAATAACCCCCCCCCCCCCCCATGATTGCGTCATCTTACAATTTTGTCGAATTCTTCAAATGAGCGTTTCGTTAAACATCCAGTTTTTTGGGAGAAAAAAAAACGAGTTTACTTAATTATTAATTACTTAATTAATTTTATCTGCGTTGAGGAGACAAAATAAATCAAATTTGTTTTTTTTTTTTAACACAAAGTCCACAGCTGATGTTTGTAATCTAAACGTCTTAACAGTCGAATTCTCTCAAGGTATAAACCTAAACCAGTTAAGCACATACTAAGAAATTGAGAATACATTTTTCCGTTGGGTATCTACTTTAAATATATATATTTCCTATTCTCCCCACTTATGCAGACCGCTTCCTTTTATCGTTTACTAGTAGCTGCCAAGATAAGACTGACTTTAGCAAATGAGACATTCTAAGAGAATAGAGGGCGGGTGGGCGGGGCTGGTACCTGCTAAAATAAAACTAATTTTGGCAAATTTAATGACATACCCTCTAAGAAAAGACAGAGTCGATGGTTGATATAAAAAAAGCTTAATTAAAGGTAAGTTCGAAATCGCTATAAAATACAGGGTGTCCTATTTGATAAATATGAGGAAACAGACAAAAGGCAAATTTACTCATAGTATGAATAAATTTAAAAGTTCGCTTTGTAACACCTATATTAAGCTAGATGAAATAGTTCAAAAACTAGACAAAAGAGGTCCCCCATTCTTTCAAACTACTTTAAAAACGAGACACAAGAGGTCCTCAAGAGGTTTTCAAATTACTTCAATAACAAAGCAAAAAGAGTTCCCGAGATTCCTTAAAACTAGTACAAAAAGCAGACACAAGAGATTCCCGCAATACTTTCAAACTAACTACTTCAAAAATGAGATAGATGAAGATAGATACATGAAGTCCTCGAGATTCTTCTTAATTACTTCGAAAACGGGTAGATGAAATTCTTTCAAATTACATAAAAAAAAATAAAAGGATTCTTTTAAAATACTTCAAAAACCAGGCATTAGGGATTCCCAAGATCTTTTCAAACTACTTCAAAAACAAAACAAAAATAGTTCGGGAAATTATTTTAAAATACTGCAAAAACAAGACAAAAGGAGTCCTTGAGATTCTTCGAAACTACTTCAAAAACAGACAACAGTTCTCCGAAAATAGTTCGGGAAATTCTTTTAAAATACTGCAAAAACAAGACAAAAGGAGTCCTTGAGATTCTTCAAAACTACTTCAAAAACCAGACAAGAGTTCTCCGAAATTCTTTCAAATCACTTGAAAAACAAAACAAAAGTGAT